TGGTGCCATCCCAAAGAGGCACAAAATCACTCTCACGGACCTTTTCCTGGACTGTGCCCGGCTGGTGGAATGACCTCCCGATCTCAATTAAAACAGCTGAGTCTTTAGCCATTTTTGAAAAAACAGCCTGGCCAGGACGTGTCCCATATGAACGGCGCATATGGCCACCCTATATTAAAAGTGTGATCATGTTAAATACAAATTCAGTCCTATTAAAATATTTTGATGTGACACCCATATCTGTTGCTTGCCTAAAAAGACGGTTTATGTGTGTAGTCTTTTAATTTGTTTTAAATATGTTTTATATTTATTTTACAGCACTTTGGTTTTGACATTTATTGTTTAAAATGTGCTTTATAAATCAATAAACTAAACTATAGTGCTGTGTAAATAATAATAATAATAAAGCTTAAAAAACGGCTATGGCTGCCGGAAAAACAAACAAACATGAAATTAAAGTAAAATATCATAATTTGAATAAAGGGCAGTAAACTTCAACAGAAATGTCCATGAAACATTTTACAAAAAAACATTATTATTTTACATGTGTTTCCTGAATTATTACTAACAAACCCATTCACTGTAAAATGTGCATCTTTTGCAGTTAACCAGAACTAGCACACATGCATAAATGAATGTAACTCTATGTACTGCATCAGTATATACAGAGTTACTGCCTTTAAATAAAGCAACACGCAGCAGAACATCGATGTTTCTTGTTCGTCGGACGAAACAGCCACCACACATTACATATATATTTTCATGTTACGTGCACAAATAAAAGCCTAAATAAAAGTGTGTTGAATTTCTACCTGTGATAAATTCATGTATCCATTTAACTGCGGAATTTAATGCCAGTATGAATATTAATATGATGTGATAGACAAATAATGGCAATGGCAAATATTTTCTTGAAATAATGTGTATTCTTCATATTACTTGGGTATTTAAAGATGTAATGGAATAAGTCTGAATGAAAACTTTCTCCTGAAGTAAGATCTGAGGGTTTGAAACTTCCGACACACGCCTTGGCTCAAATGTCGGATCACTGTAATGTTGATCAATTTTCAGTGATAGTTTAGTTGTCATGTAGGGGCCTGATTCACTGATACCACTCAGTCTGATCTCTAAAAAAAATGTTTAATTTTACTATTCATTTCTCATGCCAATATTTCTGCAGGAAATTTGGATTTGTCTTTACAGTGTATCACTGACCTATAATAATGAAGATCAGTGCTGTCTTTGAATATATATTTTTGGATGTGTTTGTGTAACAGAATTGACGTAAAATCAGAGCAGCAGAAGTTTCTGTTTGATCTGACAGATCTCAGTCTTTACTGCATCGACTTCAGTCCTGACTCCTGAATTAATAGAATTGACACAAAGTTTTTTTTTTTCCTCCCCAGAAGCACACATTATATTAGCCCCGAAGAGAAGATTCTTGGTTGAAGATGCTGAAGAACAAATAACAGCAGATTAAGACTCAAGATCAAGACTGAACATTTCTGTTGCATCAAGATGACTTCTGAAAATGGCAAAACCGAGGAAGGGGGAAGAAACCCACCTGATGCCAGTTTATATCACATAGCTAAAGATTTATTAGCATTTTTAAATGGGTTTGATTGCTTACGTGAAGCTAAAAAACAGGTTCTAGGGAAAATTACGATTAAAACACTGCATGGACATTGGAAAGCTGATGTTATTGAAGAAGCTTTTAACATAACAAAATTAACGGACAAAAAACACCAAGAACACTGGGCTTTTGTGATAATGGTGCAGGTGATGAGAAGTTTAATTTGTGATGAATGTAAACAATATCCAGCACAGGAGGAATCGGGTGTTGTATCGGAAAGTCATGACAAAGAGAATGTAAGAAGGAAAGATGATCTCCTGAATCAATATTTTGGAAATGCAAAATGCAAGAAAGGACACCCAGAATACAGATCCTCTCAAAGCACTGCTGAACAGCTGCTGGGGGTGTTAATAAGCAGCATTCTGGAGGAAGCCGCCAAACATCTAGCTCTGGGCAAAAAGGTGGTGTCAGTCAGAGCTGCACTGGGACACCAAATACAGTCCGGAGTCAGAGCACTGGGAATAATCCAGCTGATTCCAATAGACATGACAGGCCTGCTGGAGCATTACTACATACACAAAATAATAACTGTAGGGAAACCATCTACATACGTATCCCACGCTTTTTAATGATTCACAATGAAGAAAGACGAGGAGAACGATTTGGAAACATCGAATCTCACTATAAATTAATAGATGGAGTTCCTGAAACTGAAAATATATTTGATGACATAATGAAAAAAAAATCTTACGTCATGTCCTTCAACCATCAAACCAGGAATGCTAACTGGGTGTATGAGATACTGAACAGGGATACTACAGCTAACAATCATGTGGAGCCAGCACCATTTGGACATAACTATCACAGAGGTCATCTCGCTGCGGCTGCCAATCACAGGTGGTGTTGGGAAGCCCTTGATGATGCTGATGTGATCGACAACATAGTACCACAGCATAGGAATTTAAACACAGGCCCGTGGCTAACATTGGAGGATGGCTGTCGAAGAAGAGCCACAGCTCAAAATAATATCCGCAATGTCCATGTGTACTCTGGACCACTTTACCGAAGATTAATGGATCCTCTGATGATACAAGGGAAACAGGTGCCAAGCCACTTCTTTAAGGTGATAATTGAGGAGAATGTGGATGGGACAGTAAATCAGCCGCAATACTATTTGTTTCCCAATGGGAATCTCAGAAGGGATGCAGATAGGGATCTCAATGAGGAAATTCTAAGAGCAAATGTGGAAGAACATAGAAGGATTAACCATGGAACAGATAACGAGAGAGATATTACCATTGAAGACATACAGAATGCCACTGGGCTGACTTTCATAGTCATCAGACCCAATGTGGGACAGAATGCAATGGCCAATGAAATCACAGTGAGATTGCGTGGAGAAGATAGAAACAGAACGCAACGTACTGCTGTTATACAAGTCACAATAAGCCCATTAGTTTAGACAAACGCACTCCATGATAATGCTTACATGTTTCTTTCTTTCTTTACAAAACTAAACATTATATTATTATTATATACATATGACTTGAGCCGTATAGCACAGAAAAGAAACCAACAAGTGTCCAGCAGATACAGAAACTTCAATATTGTTTAAAAGTCATCTCATGTGGAAACATTGACATTTTTGAGGACTTTCCTGTTATTCTAAAATCCTACTTTAAACGTATTCTAATATGTATTTAATTACTTTTGAGTGTTTTGTCATTTGTAATTTTCTACACAGAACATTATCAGATGCCATTTGTAATTCATTAATTAACTACAGAGACTGTATTTTGTATTTAAAAAAAAAAAAAAGACATATATTATATATCATTAATTCTCAAATAATTCAAGAACTTTTTTGGATTCAGAGGCGGATTCATCTTAATCCACTCATGTTTGAATCCAATTTAAAAAAAAATTAAAATATATAATATACATACATATATATATATATATATATATATATATATATATAAGCTAAATATTTAGCAATATACACTGTTAGATATTGCTCACTGAATGTCATTACTGGACAAAAGAACAGGTGATATTACCTTTTATTTCTATGGATAAAATGACATTTTTATAGAGGCTGTATGTAAGCATTTTCATGTATTACTACTTTTCATTGCCAGTGAGTGAACAGCTTGTAAGGAAACGTGAAACAGGAATCCTAGTTTGTCTATGAAAGCCTGCAGACTGATTTTTATCTGAAGGACTTGAGATTGCCAGGAAAACCCAAAGAAAACTATCATAAGAGTGTGATTTTAATCAAGCTTATCTGTCGACATGACGCGTGGTGTGTGGGAATATACAAATGTTCTCTTATGAGTATGTTTTATTATCTTTTCATATATTCATTCATATTTGTTTTTTCAGTTATGTATTTTTACAAGTATATTCATATTACGATTCTCTTATGATTGTGGCTATGATTTACAATCTCTGAATATTATATTACATTTTTATAGGTTATTGAGTTATACTCATTTATATCTTCTAGAATACTCCTTGAAGTTTAATTCAGGTCATCCAGTACCTTTTACATTTTGTTTTCCTTCATTTGACAAAACAATGGTCTACGTGGTATATTTTCCCTTCAGTAGACATATAAAAGCTACATCTCGTTATGTTAATGATGTTAATCATCTGTAATCTTTATCACTTATACTTATGATAATAGATTTTTAATAAACTACACTTTTACGGAAAGACTTTGTCTGCCTGGATCTCTTCTCAGTGCATCAATGCGCAAACACACGAGGAATTTGTTGTGGTTTTCGCACACTTGGTGAATAAAGCTGATTCTGATGTCGGTGAATCAGTTCAGTCACAGGTTTGGATTTTCCTTCATTTTCCTTAATAATCACTTACTGCTCTTGACTAGAAGCTTCAATAAGCACTATAAGTCTATATTTATGTCATGCATTTAAAAATTATGTAGTGTTTTATTTTACATTTGAATATTCAATTTCTGTATTATTTCTTGGATGCAACTTTTAACCCATATGGCTTCTTTTTTTTTTTTGTGGCCAAAATATATTTTAAATATATACTAAATATATGTCACAAACAGTGAAGCTCAATGAAATATATTTTTGAAATAGTAAATATATTTTGTTTCAACCTTCATATACCAAAATATATTTCTCAATGAATTTCAACGGCAAGAAAATGCATTTTCTTGGAATGAAATAGAGACTACGGAGCCTGTTTACTTTTCATAGCCTTAGCTTAGTCTTGCCTTTTCTGTTTCCTCGTGTCCTTATCTTTGCCTGTGTATCTTGGATTCCCCCTCTCGTCTTGCCCTATTCTGATACTGTTTGCCCCTGCCTGGACCTTGCCTTGGACCTGGACTTATCCCTCTAGTCTCGCCCTATTAATCCTGTTCGCCGATCGTAGACCCACGCTAGCCCTAGGATATATTCTTGTGTCTTGCCTCCTACATACCTGTTGCCATTATCTGACCCTTGCCTGTCTCTACCATGTCTATTAATAAAGCTTTGCACTTGGATCCGCACGGCTCACGTCTCGTCAGCCCCGTAACAATTATATACAGGTCAAAATATATTGTTTAAATGCTTTTAAAATATATATTTATATGTATTTAAAATATATTTTCAAAAGTAAATATATTTTCTACTAATAAAATATATTAAATATCAGTATATTTTCTAGAAATATATTTTGGCAATTTTTTTGTGTATTTTTAAATGTATAAATATTTTCAAAAATATACAGAAAATTAGTAGAAAATATATTTATGTAAATATATTTTGAAACATATTTTAGCAAATATATTTCTTGGCCATTTTTTGTATATTTGTTTACAATTTATTTAAATGTAAAATATTTTCAAAAATACATATTTTAAATATATGAATATATTTTCAGAATACACAGTAAAAAAAAATAAATAAAAAATAATAACTTTTTTATATATTTTTTCCCAGTCATTTTAAATCGCATGCAAAACTCTGTGAAAAATTAAGAATGCAGCTGTTATTTTAAGTATTATATCATTATCAATGCATTACAGTAATTTTCTTTTTTATACAGATAAATACTGTATTATTCATAGAGTATTTTTCTGTTTTCTTAAATTACATAGAAATGTATGAAAAAAATCCTAAAAGAATTACGATAATAATTTAGGAAATCACCACCAGATGATGCAAATGGCACCATTACTCACACAGTTATAAAAAAATTAATAGAAAAGTGTTTAAAAAAATGGTCAAATGAGTATCTGAAGGATCTGAAAAACTGTAAAATTTAAGTAAAATACCCTAATTTATATAAAGTACAAAATTGTAATTTAAACTTGAACAAACACTGTTATTTTACAGGTATTTTTGTGAATTATTATGATCAAACATTTTCCCTGAATAAATCAATAAACAGTCAAGTGGCTTGCAGCAACAGAACACTAAACAGTAAGAGATCTGAAGTGAAGCTGCGGATGCTGTT